TAAAGCCTGATCATGTCGCGGATGTACATTTTCTACGGGATCGTATTCAGAGAACGACGCAGCCCGAGAGATGTGGGGTGTGGAGAACGAGCTGGTGCAGCCAAAAGGGGTGTGGGGGTGTATAACGCGACAATTGTCGGATACGACGATCCGCGCGAATCGCGCGCACAAGGACTTAGCTAGTCCGTGTATATATGTGCGTGAATCCTCACCGCGAGGCCGAGCGGAACAGCAGATCCAGGAGGATGAGTATCGGGTAAGATACACGAGCAAGAATAGGATAGATAGAAGGGAAATGGAAAGGGAAAGAGGGACGGTGAACGACAGTGAGGGCGAGGGGTTGTATAGATACATCCCTGCGGCGGTGGTTTGTAATATTATGATAACCCTCCCTGGCTGCCTGGCTGCCTCACCCCTACCTCGTTTCCCTCCTACGCGGCCCAGGCTGCGCGGCCACCCTCTTTCAGCGGCCATGTTGCCGGGAAATATGATTATTGTTATTATTTGCACCCTCCTTCGACCGCATCCTCCTGACTCCTCACCTCCTCGTGGCAATCCTCTCATCCTACCGCTGTTCTCTCTCCCTCTTTCTGTCTTTCTTTCACCAATTCGTGCCACCATCGTCTACCGTTATGATGCTCGCAACTCGGTCCTCGCTATCCTCTCCTCTTCCCTCTGATCTACCCTCTGATTCCTTTTTCTCCTTCTCTCGTTCACGTTCTCTTTACTCATCCCCTTCGATCAAACTCGATTCTTTCTCCTGCTGGCTCTCGTCTCTAGATCTTACGAAGCGACGACTCTTCTCCGCTCGACGAATTGAGAGGAAACGAACGAGAACAAGTCCGAGGCAACTAACCGTCAACGGTGGTTCTGTCTTTATCTTGTCGCATCGCTATCGAGACCTTCTCGTTTACTTCCATGTCTCTTCGTTCTTCCGTCTTCTCGTCTCTCTTCCGCGGTAGCTTGCAAAACTTTACGATGCGAAATGCCATCTCCGCGTCGCGCCTCTCAATCCCTCCCACCCTTTTCTCTCGTACCACCTCGTTCCTTCGTCTTTTTTCGCTCCCGACCATTTTACTCTGCTTCTTTCTTCTATTCGTTTTATTTTTTCCAAGCTTCTTTCTCTCTCCGTCATTTACCTCGGCCGCCCTTTTTCTTACTCGACGCGCAGTTCATCCGCAACTCGTCCCTGCGGAAACGTTTCATCGACCGAGACCATCGTTCTCCTTCCATCCATCCTTGTTTTTTCGCAGCTCTCCTCCGGGCTTTTTTTCACCATCCCCGAAACTTTCCTCGCGTGACTAATATTGAGAAGTATCTCCGCCGGTACAGGAGTAGGACAGCTATCTCGAATCAGCCTGATAAACGGAAACTTTCGTCCGCCTTTAAAAAAAGGGAGGGTGTCTCTTTAAAAGTAACGTTCGTGTACTAAAGTTCGAACCTGTTTTTCGATCTTCTTCGAATATATATATATATACATATATATATATATATACACACACACACACACAAAATAAAAAAAAGAAAACGTGTTCTCCGGGAAATCTAGATTTCAAACTTAAATATCCTTGGCACGTATCCCAAAGTAGGCGTCGCGAGGATCGCGACGACCTGCAGGCCATTTCCCGGAAATTCGACTAATCGTGTTATTCGACTTCATCTCGGTATACGTGTCTAACGCCGACAGTAAGCAGTGTTAAGTGTAACGAGAACCGTGGCGTCATGTAAGAAGGTAAGAAATAAACGAACACCAACGGGGTGGAAGGGAAATGGGTGGGTGGTGGCGCGAATGACGAAGGAACGAACTAACCGTAGGTAGGGAAGAGAAAGAAAGGAAAAAAGAACGATGCAAGGAGGTGGTAGTTTCGGTCTCGTAGTAGTCGCGAGAGTCGTGGTAATAAATGGGCAACACGAGCGCTTATAAGGGGTAGGTAATCTAAAGCTTTCGAGGCGGCAGCGCGGCGGGGAACATCGAGAGAAAGCGAACAGGAAGATGGAAGTTGCGGAGGGAGGAAGAGGGGGTGAACGGCGTGTAGGATGAGAGAAGAACCGGCTGGAGGAGGAGACCACGGAGGAAGGGGGATAAGGGTGGTTACGGTGAGGGTGTGAGATAAGGTATAAGGTGGGTAAGATGGCGGACAATTTGCCGCTCGACTACTCTTGCCCGCACCCCTCCCTCGACGATTCCACCCCTCCCCCTCTGGCCCATGTACCGGGTAATAGATGTTCCTCCTTCGCAACCAACAGAGAAACGTTGAACGCGCGCGCAAGCACCGTTCCCTTCCTCCACCCCTTGCCTCATTCTCCCTTCCTCTCTTTCCTCTCAAGCTACGTTTCCTCTTTCTCCGTCTCTTTCTGTACGAGGAAAGAACCTACCCGTGGCTTTTCCATCTCTTTCGTACTCGACGCGTGCTAGGTGGAAGCGCGCATGAACGTATACGCGACGATGAGAGGAGAATCACGCGTGCACGCGAACAGAGACACGTACACGGCGGAAAGTTGCGGCCGCGTTCGCATATACACGGGAAACTGGCTCCGCGGTATTCACGTTCGTGGTACGTAGGTATTTTAAACGCTCTCCACACCGTCACCTGCCGCCGCCACTGCTCGCTCCACCCTTCGCGCTTGCACCCCCGCCCCACCTCTCGGCCCACCACCGACAACCTACCCGCCAGACCGCACCAGCATGCTCTCTCTTAGCATTCCATCCGCCATCTTCTCACTTAATAAAATAATTACCCCAGGCCAATTAAGCGTTCCCTCCTCTCTCGCCCCTTCGTCCCTACCATCCCATACCTAGCCACTATCTTCGTCACACCTTTTCCCTTTTCTGTCCCTCGTCACGAGGGTTCGCGTATACTCGCGCGTTCTTGCTCCTTTGAACAACGCGACCTTCTTTGGAGTCGCAAGCTATTTCGTACGGCCGTTACACAACCGTTTACTCGCGATTATTATTTCAAAAAGCCCGCCAAACAGGGTACGATTAAGCCACGAGAGAATTATTCAGACACGATTACGCGTGCCTCGGTACGTAGTTTCCGATTCGATTCAGTTCAGATAGAAATGATATTGTGCGCGAAAATGTCGTTCCGACCTTTTTTATTCAAAAGGTTAAAAAGATTACGATCGGTTGTTTTCCGAGTACACGGAGCAGGGGGACCGCGAGGGCGCGCTCGCGTTGTTCCCGCGTTTTATACGCGTATCGTTATTTAACGGCTCGTCACTCGCACTTTTTCCCGTGTACGGGAGAGATTTAACGTGCACCGGCGATAATGCATTTTATATTTATGCACCGGTGAAAATTTAGCATGAAACGACGATGCATTGCTCGTCAGCATGGAAAATCATTTATTGATTTCCAATATAACGTTGTTTTATCTTTCGTATAAATATAATGGCCCCGGTAACGTACCTGATGAATCTGGCACGCCCTATTTTTCATATCTGTCAGTGTTTCTTCTCAGCTCTTCATTTTCCGATCGTTTGCTAGCTGCGTTCAGGTTCTTAAGAAGCGTATATCTTTCAATGATCATTTTCTCAAGTACGTATGACGATCAGCGATACCGATTTAACTCTGTAATTACGTTATCTGTTACATTTTGCTTAGCACTTTCGCAGCACTCTTATTAACACTATCGCATTAATTTAAACGGAAAATTCTAAGTTGACACGACGCGGAACATTAACGCGTTCTAACTAACAATTACGAATCAAGATACATTAGAAACATTCCTAATGACATCTACCGGTAACCGCTGGATTCAAACATGTTCTTTAGATGAGACGATGGCACTGTAATCGACCTGAGTCAAAATGTCTGCCATGTCGTTGGTAGCTCGTGTTTTCACGAGACATGTCGCCAATATTTGTTACAAACCTGCCTCAGTGCCGGTTCAAGTGCAGCCGAAAAGAAATCAGTGGAATCTTGTGAAAGTCCCAAAACCTGGAGTGAAAGGGAAAAGTTACCGAAGAATCGTGCACTTTAAAGACAAGTATACGGTTGAACCTTTAAATGTTACGAATTTAGCAGGGAGAGATCCCGTTACAGGTGCGTGTTATATTTAAATTTCACTCGTTTTGCTTCGATATTGTTCTCTTTTAAGAAGACATTTTCATAATTCGACGAAAAATTACTTTCTCAAAGTTTATATCCCTTACCCTCATATAGATTTCTTGTTTTCGACAATACAGCCATCAGTCGGTAAAGGAATTTCCTACTACGGCGGGAAATTCGATTAGCGTATATCGAAATCAATGTTACATTTTTTCTCATTCATGTTATGTACGATTAAAACAGGAAGATTGGTGGCAAAAGGTATCGGTGGAGGAATCAAACACAAATATCACTGGATCCAGTGGATCAGAGATGGGCCTACTGATCTTAATGAACCCCCAAGAGAAGACAAAGTGTTAGCAGTATTCAAGGACGGTTGCAGAACCTCGTTCGTAGCTTTGATTGCAAGCGGTTCTAACTTGCAGTATATTCTCGCGACGGAGAATATGAAAGTTGGAGACATAATCCGTACTCATAAAGGCATTCCTGAAAATCATGTCAGAGCCTTTGAAGGAGATGCTTATCCATTGGGAGCGTTGCCCAAAGGGACGATCGTTAATTGCGTGGAAAAATATCCTGATAAAGGAGGTTTTCTCATTCACGCCGCTGGAACGTACGGCACGATATTAAGGAAGGATGGAGAGGATCGCGTGGTCATTAAAATGCCAAGCAAGAAAGAGTTCAGCATCTACAAAACCTGTATGGCGACTGTGGGTAGACTGTCGAATGTCGAACATGGTACGACGCCAATTGGTAGCGCACAGAAGAATAGGGAACTTGGAAATCGACCGAGAAGCGGTCTGTGGCAGAGGAAGACTGGTCGATTCGGCCGAAAAATAAAACCTCCGGCTCCTCTACGGAAGGTCGGCATAGATCAAGAGGATAATATAAAAACTAAACTTGAACTGAATATTGTAACACTAAATAATGTAAATTTATAAATTGTATTCAATAAATGTTACTTTATTGTACCATTTTATTGTCTCCGTTACTTTTCCTTGGCGGTATTTGGTAGTTACGACGAGCAGTAGTCGTAATATCAGCGAATAGCGCTTGGGGATATGTTTGCATATTTATTTATATGTTTATATGTTTTTCGATTCTAATAGAATCACTTCTGAGTCGTCAGTGACTTTTATGCATAGAAATATCGCGATTTAAACTCTCCACTTCGCGATACGTTTCTTTAATTTTACATATTTTCCCCGATAGCATTTCAGTCTTGCGACTTGTTCAAAGGCCTTTATTGTAATATACTGTTCGAAGATTAGGATTTGCGAAGAGCACCTGATCTCGTACATCTGGTTCTAAATCGTCCACCGAAATAGGTACTCGTTGTACGAACAGAGCACAACAAAGAGGAGTGGCGAACGTCAGGCAGACTCCGCAAATTAAAACTTGTATGGGGACGACTGCCCATTTCGCGTTACGTAACATTTGTCGTCGGTCCATGAAATTCATTAGAATGGGCGACAGTACTAAAACAGATATAACATTTTTTAATTCTCTATTCATACGACAGACTTCCATATCGAATAACAGATGAAAGCAATTTCAATACTTACTCATGCTCGGTGCAGACATAAGAATACGAGACAGAGTAACAGCGGCAATGGCTTTGCTTGCTGCTCGTCTACTGCTGCCGACCTTCGTACCTTCTTCCGTTTGTAATTCGATCCCGTTTTGAAGCTCCGGCATTCTCATGAAGGGAATGTTTACGCAGTTGGCAGCGGCAACTGCTGCGAACGGTACTAATCGACCTACCAAGGGTGGTGCATTCCGTAAAAGTCGATTTAACCCGAGGGCTGTCATCACAGCTCCTCCACTTGCAATGGCGTAACTTTGTAAAATCGTGTTCATGGGGATTGGACTTGATCCACTGCGGTTTGTGTAATTGACGATCGCGTTGAACGATTGGTTTATCCACTGCCAAATGACGACGTGCGCTGTCGTTCTGAAAAATTATAAACGAAATATTCTAACAAGGTTTGCTATGAGAATATCTTATAAAATTCATCAAAACGGATCCTTTCGCTATTGTCCTTGACATGCGTTTGACATCTGCGTCTGTTATGTCGAGCAACGAGGAGTCTCGAGATAAAGTTCCAACACGATAATTGAATTCTTCTGACATACTGATTGATTCTTCTCTTTCGCTTTTATCTGGTCGCGCGAAAACGTGACTGTCGGTCGCTGTCGTCGGACGTCTGTGTTTGTAATTTGGAATTACACAAGGTGAAAGGTCTAAACGGCGTTTATCGGCGCGTTCGATAAACTCGATCCCCTTTCCTCGAAACTATGTAGTATATATCGCGAGAATTTACGTCAGCAATGAGTACGTACTTGTAAAACGTCAACATACAGCCGGTGATCATCATATTCATCGGAACTTGGGCACTCATGCGTCCAATTGGCAACATTTTCTCGCCCGTGTCGGGATGGTACGCGCTGTCGTACCGGTATTTGCATTTCCATAACTCGTCCTGCGTCACCTTTAATTGTGCCAGGCTATCTCCTTTTCTATGTTAATACAAACGTTACGTACGAACATTAAGCCAACAACAGCATAAACAACCTCTATTAACATATATTCTGATGTAAAATAATAACGATGTCAGATGTATTATCAACATCATACATATTAACTACCTGTACTTTGTGACGATGTCTCGGGCGTGCTCGAGCTCCTTGGCGCTGAGGAATAGATTCAATGGGTTCGTGACCGTGAGGAAGTGTAGCGCCCTACCCTTGTACGTGCTCTGATCCCAGTATGGCTTCTCGATGTCGATCTTTCGCTCGTCAGCAAACGCGCTGACGTCCTTGTTATTCGACATTTTGCGAGTCTTTTCTGCTCCTCAAACTTGTTCCTCCTCCCACCACCGACACACACCAGTTTCTTTCCTACTCTTCCACGAGCACTCACCCCACCATGCGGTCGTACCGGTTCTATGCAAGTCAGCAGCTCCTGTCGGGTGTTGTTCGTTCGTTCCTGAAGTAAGAGAATTCCTCTTGGCGTGATCCTCGCGAGAGGACGCTCAGACGTCAACGGTAGCGGATCTCGCGCCGACGACTGAACGATTCCACCGTTCACAGCGGTGTCGTTCCATCGAGTACTCGGCACCTCGTGTCTCGCTCGACCTTTCGATCCATGCACTTCTCTCTCTTCTGCTTCTCACCCCTTCGACGTCGTTATCGATAACGTGCACGCGTGCGCGACTACTGTCCATCATTTCTCGCTTGTTCCTTCCGCCAAGAGATGGTGGTGTGCCTATGTTCGGTTTGCAAGTTGAAGTTCTGATTTTAGAGTAGACTGGATTAAATTGGATGGCTTTAAATTTTAGCGAAAGGTATTTTGGTAAATTTATAAATTTAATGGAGGATTAGGAGATTATTTTAATATTTGGGATAGGAGAGTTGGTAAATACTTAAGAGCAAAGATACCAAAGGATAGTCACAACCCTTCTTAGTAAGACTCCAACCCCCCAATAGATGGGGCCACTTGCTTTCTACTGTCGTAAGAGCAGTTTGAAATATCAAGCGTTCGCGAAAATTTAAAGTTCATCGTAGAATACGAATGCTTTACTTCGTTTAGATAACACTCCCCACTATCTGGACGCTGCCTTATTCAACAAGTAGGCGTGATTTCGTGTTACTTTGCGATTACGCATCGCTTGACGACAATAAAAACACTGATCGAGTAGCAGTATTATTAACGACCAAGACACGATCAAACAAATTATCCTATTGCTGCATATCCTATTTGCTTTAAACAGAGTCGAGTTAGAAAAAAAACGACAGACATGTGTTGTTTCGAGGGTATATTTATTTTATAACTATTCGCTTGAAATCGAAATCTATTGCATCAAGTGGCGAATATTTTGTTTCCCTAGCCTGATGCATCTTCCAAAAGGCTGGTTTTATAAGGGTTGTTTCTCATCCTAGCAGAAAAATACCAAAACTAGATTCTGTGATTCCGGAAACCCCAAAAAATTGTTCTGTTTGTATATAATAACACATAATTAAGAGACGTATGAATTTAGACCGGGTTTTTACGGTTTCTGACCACTGTGCAAAGCAATTCTTTTCAAAGCAATAACAGTGCCCACTGAAAATTCACACATTCCATAAAAGGAGTAGTGGTCAGTCAATATAACCATCGACCTCGAATACCAGCTTCTTCGTTGTTTTCAGTTTTTTAGATTATCAATTAATAGCTTCTTTCATCTTCTATCCCTACGCTATTACTAGTTTAGTTTGTACATATTTGATTTATCGACGGGATAAAAAAGACATTTGTGCTGCGGTTCACTTTACTAATAGTCGTATGACATCACGTTTCTCACGTTCTTTGCATACGAGACGCGCGTTACAAAAAAAAAGTTAATAGGATGAATGCTCCTAATTAATAATTTCAGGAGGTGCCTATTTCTAGGCCACCAATCCACGAAGGAATGTTTTATCGAATTTATTGCATTCATTACCTAGCCAAAGAAGCATATTTACCGTTCTAGTTGCACTTCATTTTGTATATTTCAAAACGAGGTCGTTAGCGACACGTTGCATCGCCCCAGCTATGCATACGCGTTTGCAACGTCGAATCCAGTGTTTTGTTTGATTTAATCAACCTCAGACGCATCGACATTGATTCACCATTTCTCTGTCGTGAGCTAGTTGTCCACTCTGCAACCTACTTCGTCGCCTGTGTTCGCGCATGCAACTGAAACCGAAAACGAAAGGCATGATGAGGCGCACGCGGTAACTCTATTCCGTTACGCGCGATTATGTGCGCGCGTTTATATTGATCGCATAACACGGATCTTTAAGAGATACGACTTTTCCCTGTTTAATCATACTGTCCAGTTTAATTACGAATCGATCGAATCCCGATCGTTCGTTTTTCCTCAATCCAGATCTGGATTTTTCTCAAAAACAGAGATATTCAGGACGCAGAGTTTTTCTCACCTTTACACGTGTTTCCGTTAACAGAGAAACAGATCAGTTTCTCTGTATTTACGAGTATTTTTTCGCGAAGACGTTTTACACTTCACCTAGTGGCATAATTCCATTGCCGGAGACGTATTGATGTGAGAACAAAGTCGACCAAGCTGCTATTCTTTTTGTCAGAAGATCAATAATTATTGATGATAGAGTTCAGTACTTTCACCGGAATAGATCTGCCGGCAACGATGCTCGTTCACGATCGCGTTCCAGTGAATCTCGAGAGCAATAATTGCATATTGCCGTAAATCTAGGTATCCTTGGCTTTGTATAAAATAGAGGCTACCAAAGGTGGACAATAGGCGAACCGTAAACGCGGCCTGACATGACGAATCTTCTTTCTTTTTCCCTCGTCCATTTCTAGCCGTGATTTCTAGCGATCACTCGAGTTTCCGAAACAATAAAATTATTCGCAAATTATGCAAAGCAGGAAATTACTCCGGTCGGGAGTCTACAAATTTTATTGTCCACTGCGATTTTTCCTGCGAGGCCGTTTGTTGATTCAAACCTCTATTCGTTCCGTGAAATGTAGCCCAGTTGGTTTGACATCAATTTTTATGGTGCTTCGAAGAAATTCTGTCGTTCGTTATTATTTCTTTAAAAAGATTGGTAAGAAGCATATTAAGCATCTTTATTAATGTGTGCGCGTTTTGCTTCATAAAGAGCTTGTGTGGTATATATATATCTATACGCACAATATACATATATATATACACACACACACGCACACATATATACATATATATATATATGTGGTATATACACACACACATATATATATATTGGTCTAACGATTAAGATACACTGTATATATTTATATTATCTTCTGACAGATAATAAGAAGATAAAGATCCTGTTTCCTACTAGCTGCCCACATATGAATGGTACGTGTTAAAATAAGACCGCTGTTATAGTGATACCGTTTCAAGGAAGCGGTTTACTATCACTGTCGATATTTCTTTGCGCTGAGATATTAGCTAATATTTGATCATTATAAGTAACTCCCACAATTATTACATAAAGCAGTTATCACCTACTTCACTTGTATTACTGGATTCGGATAATCGTTTAACACGTTCAACACATTATAAATTGTTTATACAATAGTTATTGTTTATTTACATTTTCTGCTTACATTTCTTCTTTAGCCTTCTGTCTTGTTCACAGATTTGATTTATTTACATTTCTTTATTGCCTTTACACTTGTCTACTTGTTTTCTTTTTACACATGTTATGTGTTCATTTGCGTTTTTTATTTGAACCAGATGCATGCCATCATAGGATGTTAACTGCAAAATTCTGCATTATCGTGATAGACGTGAAATAGAATGCATTAATCAACTCAATACTTTCGACGGTGATTAACGTGCCTCGAGTTCGAATCCGTGAACTACAATTCCCTCAGCCACATATTCACCGCAATCCTTAAATAACCGATGTTAATGAGCAATTCTGCTCTCCCTCTTTTTTTCAGGTGTCAAAATAAAATCGATTCACGATCAAGATCTAATAATGTTCTTATTCGTTGTCACGTTGTTATGATTTGACCGGTCTGAATTGAATCGAACGTTCGATTTGCAACGATCGACGATGACCTATCTTCTCGTCGGCCGAATAGTTGTTTTATTATATGTTCGCTCATTTCTCCTGTTTCCTAGTATCGATTTATATCATATCACATGATTTGCGAAAACTGGGTCAACGAATGATCAAGTTAAACAAATTGCATCGTGAATGTGGCGTGTCTAAGGAATCCGCCCTCCAGGCATCGGTATCTTAGTTTAACCTGGTCGTCCCTACAATCAAATCTACATACATTTTTTTCGAAGCGCACATGATCATTGATAAAATATGTTTGATTTATCAGTAAATTACTTTTTAGAGCTAAGACATGCTTAATCATTGACTTCAAACGGTGTTCTAAAAAGGGTGAGGAATTTTTACTTTAAAGGTATTTTCGGTAGAGAAATCGTCACCTAATTAACATGATCAAGTAAAATTTTAAGATATCAATTTAGCAAGATATCAATTTATAGTTGTTATTACGCTATACGGGTACAAATTACCAATATCGACGTACGCGGTATTTTACGTAGCTATTTACGACGTAAATAGTATTATGGTATGTAAATTATTTTGAGGAATGATTAACATCGTCTTGACAGCGATGAAAGTTTGTTAATCGCGAGATTTTATTCGGTATAAAATCTATCAGGGACTTCCTTTCCTCTATGAAACTACGCAACTCTATGATATTAACATATCGCGTAATTAAGCTTCTCGATAGTGGAACAGCCGGAGATCTTATCCAAGATAGAAACTGCATGTGCACGAAAATAGAGAAGCAAGGTCATGGTGTTTAGAGAAATCCAAATAAAAGTTAAAATCGTGCGAATATTCCTTTTGCTTGGGACAAGTCACGTCGCCATCCTAATGCATAAATAAGACCAACGAGTAACTCATTGCGCTGCATCGAGGTCAAAAGAAGAATCATGTCTCCCATAAACCGAGATCGCAAGGTGTAATACATAAATTAATTCTGATATGATTCTTGAATTTTTATACTTCGATTTTGGTCTCGTTTTAACAAATAAGATTTTAATGCTTTCAACCCTCACGAGGTTATGGCAATGGGATGATACGTTTCAGGATAATTTTCATCAAGATAGTTGGGCTGCTATAATTTCTGCAACGCCATTAAGACCTATCGGAGCATTGAATTATATGTACTATGAATGATTGTATATATGACATTTCAAAAATTATTTACGATTAATTTACATTTTTTTCAAATGTGGATGTTCTATAGTCTATATTATTATATTATTGTGTCCATCGTTAAAAGAAGAATTCATCTCCAAGGGTCTAAGAAAAATCTTACCATAAAATTGAAACGATATACATCCTTTCATATTTTATCTAACCCCAAATTTAAAAGTTACATAAAAGTAGATGGAGTATATTTTCTAAGATGAATGATACCATGAGTGGCCGTTATGTTCTGCATTTGAAATCTTATAAATCAGTTATGTAAATAGGCATAATTGATCAGGCAAGAAATATTAGTTACACATATTAATTATAATATATAATACAAATATATGTAAATAAGTAAGCCTGATTAATAAATCAACTTGGTCCAATTAAAACATACGTGACATTCATACGATACATGTAAACTTAAAATACTTAGAAAAGTAGTACATGTAAATTATATGTAAATGAAAACGTTACGCCGATTTTGATAAAAGGTAAAAGGGAAGAACCTAATTACCTTATAAGTTCTGTATATACATGTAACGTTGTGAAGATATTTGACTGTGGTATCAAAACTAGAGTTCCGAGCACCTGTTTGCTTTTTTTTTTGTTTACTGGATCTTGTAGTTCTTGTTTGGACAATTCGTTCGACAACCATCATAAAATTGAGACGAGTTTTCGAGAATGTTACTGACAGTTAAGAAAACTATGTCACTCATTACGACCAGTTAGATAATCAGAAGTAAGTATCAAAAAGCAATGAGAAAGTAGGCAAAACCTCTGCGTGCTCTCCTTGCAGATCGTCAAACATCGTGATAAATGTTGCAGTTTATTCTTTTTTACCACCGAATGTAAATTTTTTTTCTTGTCTTTCAACTTGTCATTTGTTATAGAAAGCTTGTAGATTTGCAACAATGTATCTTTGCTGATTTGAGTTATTTTTTGTGAAGTATATGTGAAAGGCATTTCTGTATTTTCAAATTATTCCATTCTTATTTTTTTCTTATTATTTATTTCTTATCCTTATTTTTTCAAGTCTAATGTGAAATGTTTCTGTGCATATCTTATTTCAATTTTCCCACTTCATTAACCCAGTCTTTCAATCATACGTGTGCTCGTATTCGACTGAAAACGTTTAACAAAACCTCTGCTTCAACAACGAAGGGTACTAACCGGTCTCGGAAAGAGGCTGGTCGGGAACATCCAACCATGTACAACAGTGTATCTCCTTTCTCGTCACATGATGGATGTGTTAAACCGAAGCAGTAGGTTACATTGAGAGGAAGTCGAAGAGTCGTGGGATGCAAATGTCTATGATTGCTATATATAATGCTAATTAGTTAGATCGGATCAGTATCAGCCAAAGATTCGTAGATGCAACTTTGCTTAAAATTCAAATTTTGGCGAATATCTCTGCAATTACGAACGAAGTCGTTTACTGGTACTATAATGACTAATTATCACAGAGTTTGCTGAAATTGCTCTACGTTTTAATTACGTTTTTGATCTATTGTGATAGTTAATTTCATTATGAGCACCGTTCGCCGGGTTCGCCATTGCCTTTACAAACATTACAACGCGAAGAATCAAGTCTCTGTGCAGGATTATCTAAGCCATGGACCGGTACCCCCACCGACCTAAATGTACTACATATAAATGGTCCGGACACCTCGTAACTATCGTCAGAGAGCTTGTGGACTTAATCTTGTCGTCTCGTCTGCATAAACAAGGCGTGGTGCTCACGTACCTTCATTCATCTATTTCTTCATCTTGTGAATATAATTATGGAAATAAAAGTTCATCGAAAAAATTCCTGTATAAGTTCGGGATAGAGAGGATCGTTGCGTCGACGATCTTTGTTTTTTTGGATTTTCATTCGCAGAATCATGAAGTGTATACGAGATGGTTGGAAGTTGGGCTGGTTCGAGAGAATTAGCTACGTTTTGTTAGTGACTTTTTATTGTTTTTCGAAGCACGCCTCTGTATTGGCGTTTGATAATTCAAACAATACGTTTGTCGAGAGATCTCGAGTAGACTGCAGCCTGCGCAAAGATATAATCACTTGTGGGAAATACAAAGTTGCCAGGTGGCTTCATGACATTGTGAGGGAGAAGGTATGACAGTGATATAGCGATCTTTATTTTGTTAAGAATTTTATCAGATTACAAATGGATAGAAATTTGAACATACGATTAGCTTCTAAGAAATGTCATGCACTACATAGCTCCAAATAGAAGTCCGCGCTGTTAAGCCGTATTGTACTCGTTATTTCGAAACTTGTCGTAAAAATGAAACAATCTTTTCCACAAGGTGCTTTGTTGTACGGGTAAAGACACTTTTTGAGGAAAATTAGTGGAAGTAGCGTGTAACTGATTGAAACCCGTAACGATTTCGCTGCAAACCATTATTATCATTCGTGTTCGTGCAACAGCGAGAGTATCTACATACACGTTGTACCCACGTTACTTTCGTCAACTTTTACTTTTTAATTAACGCTGTCGGTAATCGAATCGTACAGTCGTGGCCTATATCTAGAGTTAATTCCAAACATAGACTTTCGCATCTCGTAACATCAGACGACGAACCACAATAAAATTGTAAACAATCCAATAAAATTATAATTAATTATTTTCATTTTTATTAGGAATACAGCTATGGTTCCCTGCGTATTGTAAGAATCCCATCCATATCTGGACAACCGATACTCCCAAAGTTACCACAGTCACGTGTGTTCAAAACCGATGCGGTCGAGGCCTTGAACTTCGTCAGGGACTGCTTGGAGGATCTGCTGACGAAACGAGCTTTGGTTTACACGGTTGACAACTCTGCCACTGGTAGGAGTTTTGGTAGCGCGCCTATGATCATGGACGAGGATGAACTTATTCAAATGCAGAGCAGAAAATACCCTGCTGGTAATTATATTCTTAATTTTCAGAACTGAGTCTCTCGAATGTAAACCGTGTTTTCAAGAAACATGTATTTCGTTTTATCAGCATTGCAGATAGTTGCATTAGTGAATTTCTGAAATATTTCTGAAATACTGACTCGCGAATAAATTCTTTATCAATTTTCATATCGATGATATTAATCGTTTTATCTAGATAACTGGAGACTTCTGAAGAAGAAAACCTCCATAATCCTTCCTCTTCTAATCCTATTAAACCTATTGAAAGTGAAACTGTTGCTGCTACCCATTTTCCTCGGTGTTCATTTCATCAAGAAGCTACTAGTGCTAGCATCCATCATTGTTCCCTCGTTACTGGCGCGTCTGAAGATTTGTAAATTCGCGAATTCACATTACCAGGGTTACCCTTATCACATGTGGGGTACGGCCGCTGATACACCCGTCGATTATCCAACAGGTAAATGAACACGATTATATTTTTTGTGTCACGCTTCCTTAATTCAAAGCGATGAAAATTACATCGGTTGTAAGAAGCGATTATAGGAGACTAGAATAGCCGAGACGGTCGAAATATCATCAATATACGTTGAGCCAATGCTCGATGACACAATATTTCTCTCCTTGTCAATTAATTACAGTTATATAACACTCGATGATTCCTAAACGTGGAATTGTCGTATAGGATGCATTTCGATAGCTTATTGATAGTAGTAATTTTAATAATTGTACGTGTTTCTTGGGATATGGAAAATTTGAGTGTTACTCGAGTATGACGATCGCTCTTCCATAAGCACTGTCGAGCAATAGTTGCGTTATTGCCACTTTGGACTTTTCTATCGGGACGAAATTTCAATCGTTCCGAAATTTTCTATTTGAACGAATTATTATTGGGGAGAGTCAACAATTACTTTAAATTATTTCGAATTATTATACAATATTTCAAAGTATCTCCAGGTATATAAACTATGGGGAAATTATTTTAAATTATTTTAAATTACTATGAAATATCTCAGTGTCTATATAATTTTTTTGTTATCTTCTTCAGCATACGGACAAGAGGAGCCATGGTCTCACAGAAGTGATTACGTCTCAGTAAACTCTCCTTACATGGGATACCAGGGTTATCGCAACCCCTATGGATGAAGTTAGGGAGCACGGAAAAACATCACTGATCTACTTCAACTTGCCATTGCATCGAAACTCAAACGGACGAATTACGATTGTGCACCTTCCGCTTTCTTCTCTTAGCAACTTTCGACTGTGTTCTCTACGCATTTGCGGTTTTCTTCTTGCGACTCGCTAATCCCCTTTCTTTATTCCTAAACATCCTAATTATGAGGCGACAAACTACAAACGAGTTATATTTAGCAATGATTATCGAGTGCGTTCCTCGTCACGAAATGACTTTCACACGCCATGCTCGCTACCGTTACAAAATTGGTAATGAGCATCGCCGTACATAAACGTTGCAATCACGAACACGCGTCTGATGATTTTCTTCTGCAAACTGCAGAAACTGTTCGCGAGTATTGTTGCGTGGCACGCGAGCCTCCAACGTCGTCCGTGAATATTTGGGTACCGTAATCTAATAAAATCGAATTCGCGAACAACAACGCCTCGCGTGATGTCAACGCTGATCACTTCCGGGCTAATAATCGGAGGGCGGGGTTGAAGCGTGTGGCCTGCTCGAGAATGTACAGACGCGTAGTTTGTATAGTAGCGAGCGATCGTCAGTGACCAGATAGTAAATAACTTTTGGTTAAATAAAGTTACGAATAAAGAAATGATTTATTACTTCCTTTAAGATAGGATAAACTAGATAGACTTCATGTTTCATACTGTTCCTTTAGCATGTAATAGTACGGGTTTGGAAAAATCTATCTGAAGGTTAGGAACTTCTTATTCATGCAGGAATGGCCGTGCATTGTTTATTACCATAGTTGTAAGGACATGTCTCAGTATGACAATGACCTCTGATTCCGGAGCAGTAAGCGTTCTACCAGAAGTTCACATTCGCAGATGCAGACTGATTTCGCACGATGTTTCTTTCCAGCATAAAATGACGTCGACCTTCTCTAGAAATGTTTTCTCCGTTACGATCATCGCTACATATGTAATATCTAACGCTGGCTAAAAGTCATTCGTGCATTTCCAACGTTCTCCAAGAGATATACATACGTAGTTGCCATTACTCGTTGAAATAGCAAAAATACATCCAATTGTTTCACAAGCTCCTAAATTTTCCTCTTCCAACCTTCTAGTGCGAAATGGAGTCGGGCGATGGTCGATCAATCGGTGCAGGTGAACGGCGATGGTCAAGGTCATTGGAAACTTAAAGGAGGCGCGGCGGTTCCCCGTACGAATGACCTACTGACAGATTTGGACGGCCGCTCCGGCGTGTGACGCGTGCTTCCGCACGCGCGTGTTGACCCATGCACGCATGCACGATCGGGAAGACCGTTATAGGGCCACATACGAGTTCGAGGCGAATGTGGCGCGGCTGTCTTCGCGTTCGACAAATCCGCGGGCGAGTATCGCGATCGTTGCACGCGATAGCAGTTAACCATTCGCTGCATTTAATAACAATAATCCAATCAATACATTGAAACAGTTGGGCCTGCGATCAGTGCGAGATATAGCCGACACGCAGCTTGCACTCGCTGTAACTCGACCGTTACGTTACAACCGACAGGGAACGGAGTATTAACATAACGGCATGCGCTATGTGTACTCCCGATGTTCGATATACCATGGGTTGGTTCGAATGGCGTTGAATTAATCGATAAGCGAATCGATAATCGAGAGGGTTGCGTTTGTTGTTGATGTAGATCGAAGCTACAGAAAGAGCGAACAGAGTTTTGGAGTAATCGTAATTTGGAGCGAGTAGGAAAAAAGAACAGAGTCTGAAGCAATTAGAAGTTGGAATGAAAAGTAAACGTAGATTCGAGTGAATCGATAAGAACGATAGAATGTGAAATAAGAAGCGTCAAGGTGAATTCTGTATTCATTTCACGTATAGAGAGTAAGATAGTGAAATCTCTGTTTGCGACAGATATTCAATTCTATTTCGAACGGAGAATGTCAGGTTATCTAGAAATTCGCTTAACTTCGGTATGTAATAAATCGAACAACTCGGCAAAAAATTGGTATTTAAGATAAATAATAAGATATAATAATAAGATTAAGACAAAGATAAGGTAAATTTGATATTTGATAAGCAGGGTTTGTTGTTACGTGCACGTTTGCTTCGATATTAATTCTCAAGAATTTGTAAGAGAATCTAAGGAATCTGAGAAGCGTTTAACCTTAACGCAACGGTTCAAGAGGTCTTTCGTTTCGTTTTTAAGGAAACGATTATGGAAGATTGATGCGCGCATGTAAAAGCTGCATGGAGGAATCTGATCGATACAGAGCAAATGATGGAGCACTTTCTAAAACCGGTTGACTTTTTCTCTTTTATAATACTTACATTTTTCGAACTTTTTCTTACAAAATTGGATTAGTAGATTTCGCTGCAGGTCCGATAAGCAGACGTACAACAACGTAACGTACAATTAGTCTAAAATATGGTCACAACAACAATATAATTTTCTCTTGAGTTATTTCGAAGTGGTACTTGCTAACACGTCGATGTTCTACCTCTTTCATTTCTTTCAAAAGTTATTGAATTATTCATCAAGACTTGTCAAAACTACGAAGCAGTTCATTAATAATTTCTTAAGACGATTTCTAGAAGGTTAATAACCCGTCTCAATTCCCAATTCCACGGACGCGAGTATCTATGAAATTTATTTACTCTTGAACAGCATTTAAGATTTAGATGGATAATAAAAATTACTTTGAATAACGAGAAGCGTTTAAACAAAATTTAACTGATTTAGTCTATCGTTCTCTCTCTTTCTTACAACAAAATACAAACATAGACAAACGTAGTCCCGTCGCGTGGATCCTTTCTCTCCGCTTGATATCTTCAAACGATTAAATCGATCAGAAATCTAATCCAAACCATTACAATCTCCGGATGACAGCCGTAGGCGTGAAGTTCTTGAAAATAAAAAAAGGGAACGATGTATTTTATCGTGACCCTGTTCTGGAACGAAAACCTTTTTACCGGTTAGGTGTACCTGTGCCATCGAACCAGCTCACGATAATGATTAAGAAATCGAACCGATGCCTCCAGCTTCTTAATGAATTATAGTCGTAAGGTAAATAGTGGCCCTTAACGAGTTAACGACATTTCCATATTTCATTCGTTTCTTACATATCTTTTGTCGTATACCCATGTCCAATTATCACGCCAAGACTTCAAACACTCCGATATCGATCTAACCCAAACCTCTCCGTTCTATTATGCTAAACGCATCTTGCTTTCTAGATACAATCTACACGATCGGATCTATTTTCTGAGATTAAAATTCTTGCCACGCGTCCAATCGAATTTTCCTTGGCTCCAAGTGAAACACTCGAGTACGATCATCGATTTCGAGGAATAACCGAACCGTCCGTGAATTCGGGACGCGGCCACAGTGAAATCGTCCGTAAAAGTGTGCTCGGTGTATTCGTGTCCAGGCTGTTTGGGCTTACACACGAGACACCCTTTTCTCCTGATTAACGTCATTAACGTTTATGATTTTTTCCACGTTCGTATCGAACAACGCTCTCTCGAGTACTACTTCAAACGAGCGCGTGATGAAAACGCTGGCTTCTGGATGCAAGATGTTTGCGATTTTTCTTTGCGCGATCTTTTCGACAGGAAGTAAAATAAAGTCGAAACCGGATTAGCGGCCTACTTGTATCTGAAAATACGCGTGTTAATATTTATGTCGATGGTGCAACGACACTGGAGACACACGAGTGGAATACCGGTGATTTTCCACGACGAGCTTTCCGCGCAAGCTTTGGTGTCATGCGTTTATCGAATCCGATTAGATTTCTCCTTGTATTCGACGTCGCGTCTCTGACAAGCATAATAGTTACTCTTGTGTTGATCGCACCACCTTTTATCTATCGAAATATTTTTAATTATTCGTCATAGTTCGGTGACCCATTCACGAGAATGAACGAACGAATTGATTACAAACTGACAGATATGATAACGATAAAAGTGAAGTATTCTAATCCTTGTTATTATACAGTGATAAACAGATAAATAGGGAAACTCCTTAACCAAATTTAACTGAACTTAGTTTTTAATACTATTTTTACAGTGCGTCGAGGAACAAGAAAAGTATTTTTTAACCCTATATTTCAGAAACAAAAAAAAAAAAAGGAATAAAACTTTTCACGATGCAATTAGTCGAATTTACGAATAGACATTTTTCTATTAATATGTTTGCTAACAAGTAAAACTCAGCCATTTGTGATGCTATTATGATTTGCATAAAATAAGTAATAAAACGCTATCGTTATAATAAGATTGCGGATTTCTATGTATTTGTGGGTGATAATATTTAAGGACATAGGATAATATACAATAAAATATACAAAGTACAGTACTTGCTAAATTTTTAATAAGCGAAACACATTTCTCCCTAGACTCTTTAGTTATTTTCATAAAAGCAGCATAACTATCCGTAGTTTTGTTACAACATTATGTCGCATCATTACAAAACTGGAGTCAAAAATTCGAATTGAAATCAGAATTAATATGATTTCTGGACCAGATCGAAAAAAAAAGGTAAAGAATGGTTCAGATGGAGCGTCATCAGCCGAAATTCCAACCGGTGAAATCGGTCCGGCGGTCGTTAGACCCGCGTCGAATTCGATTGGATTTGAATCAGAGGAGAACGACGACCGTCTACGTGCCAGAGGAAAAGAGACGAAGCGTTTGTGGCGGGAGCGCAACCAACGAATGAACGAACGTGGAAGAGAGGAAGGTAGAAAGGAACGGACAGAGGGACGGACAGACGGATGGCCGGGTAACCCAGATCGGATCAGCCGAGGCGATGCTACGGAGACTCGGCAGTAGTATCGAGTCGATGGTCGCGCACCATTCCGACGTCTTCGTCGTTCCATTCACCAAGGTCTTTACAGTGTTCGATTCTAAACAAAATATCTAAACCCACACGTTCTCCAAAAATTCTTCGATATTTCTACAAGACGATTGCAAAGTTGGTTGCACACTTTCATGTCATTTACGTGTTATAACTGTGAGAATAGACAGTCTCGTGTATCTGGTGTCACTTCAAACGAACGATCATTTTGGGAATCAAGAAGTCAGAGGACCGTGAATTCTCGACTATCAATTAAGCTCCTTGATTTCCGAGAAGAACTCGTTCACGGTAATTATTACTTACTCAATTGACATTTACTCGATTGGGATACCATCTGTCATACGTCTCCGCTACCTCAGTTCAGAGATCCGTTGTACAAGATCGCATTGCTTTTATTATTTCAGGGGACATCGAGCGAACGTCGCGGACCGAGATGCAGTTATCTTTCGGCAATAAGAGAAGCTAGTCAAGAGAGAACGAGAGAGAGAGTTGGTGAGAGAGAGATAGAAAGAGAGATAGAGAAAGAGAGAATCGTGCGAGACAGGTTCCAAGTTGGGGGAACATGGGTGGATCGAGAGACGGCGTCTTGCTCATCTTGGCGGTCGCGTGGCTCCGATTGACGGTCGGGGTCGAGGACCACGTGGCGGCCTTGAACGAGACCGACCATCCAGTTCAAGTGGATTCTATCGAAAACGAGGTATCGTTCAGTAGTGACGAGTTGGATCAGCATCCGCATATGATGCCCGGTAAACCTTCGAAACTCGACACGAACATTAATCAGATGATACAGACGGACGATAGGTCACAGTATCAGATCGAGGCGACGCGAATGGAGAACGCTACAGCGTTTCCGTTGGAATCGATGGGTTGCCAGGACAACAAGACGACGCCTTGCGCGCGAAAGGATCTGTCCGATCTATTCGACAGGTTGTCTAGGATCGACACGTACAACGTGACCGACTCGGTGCAGATCATAAGAAATCGGGACGTCATCGGCAGGAAAGACGAAAAAGGTAACGACCGGCCGGACGCAAGCCTACTCGATAAAGTTCGCCGGTTCGCAAGAGAACACGTAGTAAAGATACGTCTGAGCCAGGACTTAATACCCGGTAGAAAAGCTAGAACCTTCTTCAACGGTGAGTCTACGGAACGTGTTCGTGTCACGCTTTCGTAATCTCCGCTCGCACCAACGGCGCATCCACGGGTTTCGCAGGATCGTTGTTTTATGTTGCTATGAACGTTGTTGCCTCTTCCGCGGACCGATTTCGTTTGCTTGTCGCTGTATTTCCCGCTCGCTGAGGAGTCGTGGAACGCGTTCGAGCTGGTAAAACTGGGTCTTGATTGTAGTTGCTCGCGTTCACTCCTATACAATATTACGTATCTGTATGAAATGAAAGGTGGGCGTATCATGCGGTATCTGCCTATAGTGTTCCTTTGTGGACATGTTGAAAAATTCCTTTACAAATGGACTGGATGGCCAACATCATCTAGAAAGTAGGCATGTTTGCGTAGTTTTTCAAGTCGACTTTCCCAAAACAAGAATCACGAGAAGTGAAAGAAATGGCGGAAGAGAAGAGTAAACGTTTGACTTGTCAGAAGGTAGAAACCTGCTTTCGGTTCATTTATTTTTACGCCTGAATCTCCAATCCGCCGATTCAGGTTTTGTCCAAAGTCGGAAGACTGGTTTCGACCAAATGACACTGCGGTCAAGGCCCAAGCACGCTTTTCGAGAAATGTTACACGCAATACACGAAAATACACGCTGCCCTGGCGCCAACAGGGCGAAGAGTCGCGTAACGAAACGAACGGACAACATCGCCATCGCGCTTTTCACACATCACTGATTGGCTTCTCGCTAAAACATGCTAAAAAAGACGGTTAGCTGGTTCACCGCTGAGTGGCAAAACGAAAGATACGGCTTCATTCGCGACAATCACCAACGTTGCGTAATTGTATTCATTTAAGATCATCGTGGCAATTCGAGAAATACCTTACATGTATGTTGAATGATTTTTCAGAAAGAGATCTTATGTCTGCCACTGTGTGAAGTAACTGAGAAGGCGAGTGAGAAAGAGAGAGATATATATATACATATATGCTGGCTGCAGCATGGCTTACAGGACTAACCGCAAGGCTTTAATTTGCTGGTACTTTTGCTTTCAGCCATCTTTCAGGGAAAGAGTACCTTTTTAACAGGATTCGGACTTGGTTTTCTAGCATTTGGCCTGAAGAAGCTGCTGCTACCTCTGATCTTTGGTGTACAGATCATTAAGAGTGTCCTACTGGCGCTTTTCCTGCCCAGTATCATCGGAAGTATCGGTAATATCGTTGGTAAAGGTACGTACTTGTACCACTTACTTTAATTGACAATGTAATTCTGTAATTCTAGATATCCAAACTGTTTCACTTATAGTAGTCATCTTAAATTGGTAACTGAAACGTGCGATGACAGATTTAGTTTATCTGTTTGTCTTGTTTCGTGGTCGAATTGAGAAAAATCCGGATATTGATCCAATTTGCTTTGTAGGAGTTTCATCGTTTGCGCAATCATCACATACCACGGCGCAGCCAGAAGAAAATTTCGAGTTCAAGGATAATTCCGATTTGTACAGCGATGACTACCTGACGCGACAGCCGGTAGGAACATTACCAGCCTCTGTAATGTACGATGAAAGTATGATGCAGTCTCAGAAGAATCCAGAAATCGCATCGAGATATTCCTTCGTCGATCCTAGAATAACTCACGCCAATGCTGTTGCCGATCGTTATTACACTCGCCACGTTGCTGCTCATGGACTTTCTAAGAAGCAAGACTTTAAGGTAATGTCTCTTTTTCTAACAAATTTTCTAAATCAATAAATCATCGATTGTTATAATATTACATTCACTGACGATTTCATTATTTTTCTTCAAGATCTCTCAACCTTCTTCGTACCCATACAGTTGTCGATATTTTATCTATTTTATTCAAAATTTCTCCAACAAATTTCCTAGTTCAATTAATTGTTAACGTTATATCCATTGAAGATCTCATTTTCACAAATCGTCATTCAGATCTCAAATCTTCAAATTTTGACTTACGATATATGGTAATAATCAACATTTATCCAGTCTATTCACACTGTCCTACGAAAATACAATTTTCATGTATCAAAATTCTCACAAGAGTTCTCGTAAAAAATGAGCAGGTGTTCCACGAAATTCCAACGAGTTCACTGCTGCTAACTAACTACGACCCATTCTACTCACCTCTGTTATCTCGCCTGGATGCCGTGTTCTCTCGTCTGGGCCACACGACGGAGGGTTGCAGAGAATACGCCGTTTGTGCGATGTACCGAAGCCCCGCCAGGTACGCACCGTATTCGAATCTGGTCTCAGCACAGCTGTCCAGAGAGCTGAACGAATTAAGAAGACCCAGTAGCGATAATCCCGATGTCCTGAGGTTCTTCCGGTACATGAAGGCCGCGAAAGACGGACAAGATGGCGTGAAATGCGAGGATGCGTACGCGAGTTGCGCAATTGCACGGGAGGATCAAACTCTCAGGCAAAATCAGGCGATGTTGGCTACCTACCAGGACATCGACAAGCTCGTCCACGCGAGGAAGTTATAAGAAAGAAGATAGAACAGCGAGGATTCAATCCTGGGACTGAACGACCGATTGAAACCAAATCGTGTTTTTATTCGGTTACCTGTGATTCGTTGATCGTCGTTGGTTGTACTTTGGTATACAGGTATCGAGCACTTTGAGCGAATTTCTGTGGCGATTATAAGTTGCAGGGTACAGTTCTTGAAAATAGTCTGAATAGTAGGTATAATAGTAATTTAGGAAATCGGTGAATTTACCTCAACTATGAATTTTTATTATTTGGCTCCATGGTTCGATCATTTATTCATACGACCACCGAGTACGTAATTTGGATATTTAATAACTCATTAAATTATATTAAATTTTAAAAGTTTTAAATTGTAAAAAGTTTCGATTAATTTAAATGGAATCTGAATATCGAAACTTTTGATATTTATGGGTTTAACAAAAGAGTAGTTTGGAGAGCGCTTCCTATGCGGACGTTGAGATCTCCGCGAGGTCGCTGTAGCGCCTAATTACACACGGCCTTCTTACATATATTTTCAGGTTCCTTGCTGTTCAGAATATTTAAAAGATCACTCACCAAGGCTCAAAGATCGCTATCTCTGTACCTGCTTATCTCTGTACACGACGACATATATTGTTACTCGGGCAATTACGTACTCAATAGTCCAAACAAGATCAAAGATGCTTAATACGAAACAATTTCACGCAATTAATCGGTCAGAAGGCTGACAACGAAGGAAACAAATGGCAATCATTAGGTCGACCGTGATAACGGTACATGATAGCTGGATCGCTGTATATCATTACCGGTATTCGAATGTTACGTTCTTACGTAATAGTCGACTTACCATGGTTAGAAGTAGGTCCGACAAATAATACGCGATTAGAGACACGCACGATTTACCAAGAAAGAATTTTATGGCCGTGTATTCGTGGAATTCGATGTTTCGAACTGTCAGGTTTGAATTTCCATATAGTGATGCTCGATTATATTTAGTCGAGTAATCATGGAAAATCGTGGTGTCGCGACGTCGACGACGCCTCGATTTTCAACCAATGAAACGCAGTCATTCGCGATTTAGCGGTTTAATTTCAATAACATATCGAATGATTGTACGACGCGGAACTTAAGACCCCGACGTTTCTTTAATTCCTATTTAATTCCAATGTGCGTCGGTCCACGCTCCGCGGACTTAGATATTTATTTATTAGCCACGAGGAATCGTGGTTCTTAATTTATTAATTAATAGTGCGAGGCGTATGAACGCTCACGGACCATTACTGTCTATTTATTTATTCGATAAGAGACTCGATCCGATGCGGGTCAACGCAATCAATTCTTGTACAGTGCGTGAATAAAACGCTGTGAATGCGCTACGATCTTTTCTTTCTCTTCTAGAAATTGTTCTATTTACTATAAGCAAGAGAGTTACATAAACTAAACGTTCTACGTGCGCAATTGATAACCTAAAAAATTACGTGTCTTGGTGAAATTTTAATTGCCGCAGAAGCTCGAGGAAGCTGTTACCTATAGAATGGTTCCAAGAAAGGATGATCAAACAGAAGACACAAACACACGTACTATGTACGCGTGCGCTGGACACGAGAGAAAACGAAAGGGGCAGAGCGATGACGCACGCTCGATCATGGATTACGAAGGAAAGTCCAACGACTCTGTTTCGTTCGTCGCTCTTGCTCGTCCCTCTTTGTTCAAAACCGCCCGGTTCCGGTCCTATATCCGGGGACCACTTTCACTTTTGATTTTTTTTACGTCTTTTTTTCCCTCTGCTCCCGCGTCAACCCACATCCTTCCCCTTTCACTGTACCCTGTATGAACGCTCGTTCATATAAATGAAATGATCAGACGCGAGCGGATGCATCGCATTGCTCTAAGTTCATCCTCCGGTGTTATTAGCTGTAATCTCGTTCTATCCTGCATCTCCGTCGAAAAGGTGAGAGCCGCGCTCGCGACTGTAATTTGTGTAGTCTCTTCCAGAATGATATTAATTTGACAGTGTAATTTTGTTGTTGTGGTTGAAGCATGGCCATTGCGGTAACATCGTGATAAGGTTAATATTTTAGTACCGGTTTAGTAAACGAAAAGTGGTTTGGTTTAAAATAATGGAATGAATTATTGAAATTTGTTTCTTCAGTGGAATTTTGTGGTCACTGGGTTGCGGACTTTTATGCACTTAAAAACGTATCTTTACGTAGGTTCTATTCTTTTGGCTTTTTATAAAAATATAAATTTGTATAAATCTCGTAGTCTGATGATCACACGTAAAATGCTTATGGAGTTAGATTATTATGTAATTGGAATTATAAGATGTAACGTTTACATAGATCAAGGGTTGTAATATCGATGTACGAATCAAGTCTTCGAAGTTGAATCTTGCCAAATCCCACGAAATATTAAGGTCTAACGAACATTAATCTCTAATGATTAAGAAATAACATATCGTTCGCTGTATTTGTATTTCGCAATTATTTGTAAAACAACAAAGGTTTCCACGAGATCGTTCGACGTATTGTAGAGTCGAAAAAAATTAATCATAATTAGATTTGGTGGCTGGAAAATTTGGCGCTCGATCAAAGAGAGTGCGTGATCGGCGTAACAAATACTATGGACGCGCGACCGGAATACAAGGTTATGGACCCGGTTCCTTTGAACCAGGACTCCGGATTGGTTCGTCGAGGTAACGGCACTTCGATATCTACCGCGCGGTTACGATCGAAGTTGGTCTCTGCCAGACACTCGAGTGCGGTTCGTGAATCGCGACCAGCGTTCTTTTTTCCACTAAATCGTGAAACGATGTCGTGCAGGGATCCAGTCGGTTGATGGAGTCTGGTAAGAGATAGCTATCCATTTTTCATTCGAAATTATTCGCTGCTCTCTGTTTTTGTTTTTGATTGTGAATCGAACAAGGCGCAGCTATTTTGACAGAACGCGAATGGCGCTACGGTATCCGTCAATAATTCGTTTGTTCGTTTTGGTTCTTTGTTTCGTGTGAATGACGTATCGAGGGATATTGTTTGACGAGCGTTTCACGTGAAACTAGTGTCGATAAAGAAACGTGACTGCAGGTACAACATTCAGGTGAGAAGCATGCGACTAGTGCAATTGCTGGTAACACACGGTCTGGTGCTGTTGTTGACGCTGTTGGTACCCTGTCTATCGGTTACCTTTGAGGATGGAACTTCCTATGAGCGCTCGGAAGCGCGCGGTAAGATATTTCATATTTGAAATAAAGAATGTTTACTTTAAAATTAAAGTAGAAGTTGATTTATGGATATAATTGTAAGAAATATCTGTCGTCAGTTTGATAGAAGAGTGACACGTTTAAAGAACCGTCAATGTTGAGATATCTGTAAAATGAGGTTTAAAAGCAAGCTATTTATTAGAATAGCAACGCTATAATTATTATATAATAATATTTGAATTTATAATTCCAGAGAACCACGTGCCAGAGCCACCAGAGCCGCAAGAGCAGGTCGTTTTCAATAAAACGCGTCAAGGTAAAGGACTTTTCGACTGGATCGGTCTAGGCACAGGACGAAATGTAGATCCATACATAGCGAAAATAAATCAAGGCTGCTTAAACGGCGACCTGGCGGAATGTTTCAAATCTCAGGCTTTGAGTTATTTCTCCGATTTCTTTGATCACTCTCATTACGACCTGAATGATTATGTAAAGGTCGTTAGAATGTCCAGGGACGTGGTACAGGAAGTCAATCGTCAGCCGTACGAATATTCTGGGGAATCAAGGTGAAATTTATTCTAAGAACGTCTACGTAGTTTCCTCTGAGATCGATACGACGCAAAATTTCTCTTTACTAATACTTTTATCATTTCAGGTCTAGCGACTCTGAATGGGATCAACTGATGAAATTCGTTCTTAGAAAGGCGGAAAAATTCGTGAAAACCGTGGCTATCGAGTTGCACATCCCTTCCGAAGAAACTGGAGAAAATGAAGTGTACGCTCCACGGTTTTTGGATGAAATTGCCGACGAAATTGACACTCTTGAGAATAAAAAAGACACTCTCTTCTGTGAGTCCACCTCCAACAAAAATTGTATGCCTTTTTCAGCTTCGATACTAATTAGTATTATTACTAACTATTATTAATTTTATTCTATTTATATAATATTATATCATTATAATATCATTATAATACTATCCTTACGCATATCATTAATTCCATTTTTTCTCCTAACAGCCCGTCATCAATTGAAGAAACTCCTTATTCCAATGCTCATCGTACTGAAGCTCTTCAAATTGAAGTTACTCCTGTTTCTACCTCTGATCCTGGGTTTAGCGTCTTTCAAGAAATTCCTCGGTTTCTTAGCCATTGTAATACCTGGTCTAATTGGATTTTTCAAGTTGTACAAGCCACTCACGCAGAGTTATCATCCACCAGTGTATAGTCAGAGCGGTATAGCTTATCCTTATTACAAAGAAAATTCCAATAGTTATCTTTATCCTGAACAGGATGACCACCATGGTCTCGAGTATGCAAGTGGATATCACAGAGATAGCAGCGTATCTTTTGGTCAGGATCTTGCTTATCGAGGCTATCGGCAATACCAATCATAAAAACACTCAATTTAAAAAATTGTTTTACATTGCCTTTCTTCGCTCTCTTTCTTAATGTTAAAGGACCTGATAGTATTATGATATTTGCGTTGATTATAACCATTTCTATCTTTATATGATCGCGTTAAAGTCTTTGAGATAAGAAATTTTTGAGAAACTCTAATTCGTAAGAATTTATATGTAAATTTTCGATATGAAAATTTACGACACAAGCTCTCTTCCTAGATTAGAAATTATATTATGCTGGGACGCGTTGCCATTGTTGAACAGCCAAGCTCTAGCTGGTGTACAAGCTCTAGCTGATCAGCCATGTTTTTGGTTATAATAGGCGAAACTTTTAATTGATCTATTAAGTTCTGTATATATTACTGAAGTGCGAATGTAGATACTTGCATGATCAATGGAAAGTACTATTCTTATGTTATACGTGTGCTATTATTTATTGTGTAAGCCGTTTAAAGGTTTGTAAGCCTAGCTTTATAATATAATTAGTTATTATTAATAAATTGAATCGTTTTCTGTACCAATTTCATAATTTGATATTATTATTTATAATTTGGTAAGTATTATCTATAATACAAAATTATACGACAATAAAATAGAATATTGAAACGGATTTCGATATTAATGTCAACATTAATAAAATTTCAACATTAATTTCGCCAAAAGTATCTACATGTCTTCATTTATGTAAAACAATTTCTCTGATAATAACGATGCTTCTGGTTTTCTATTAGTCTGTAGTTGATTTGGTGTTGCATTACGATAACAATGCAATGAAACGGAAATTGCAATAAAATTGGGTCATTAGACATGAAAAATGAAATCTTGACCAGAGGTGGAGCAATAACATTGTCGATTGCAGTTTTCTTAGCTAATAGGTATAGTGAAACGAAAATAATGAATAGTAGGTCGATGCGAACAAATTCATCGACCTGGTTCATTTAATTTTTCAATTCCTTATTTTTGTATTACGTTCATGTGAATTAATGTTTACATTTATTATAAGATTGTCAAAATTTGTTAGTTTAATCAAAGATATGGTTATCGTTCTATCGATATATTTCTCAATGGAAAATCATTCGAGAGCGGTCTTGTACAACGTTCCATAAATATCACATTACCTTGTTACCCCTTTTTCTTCATTTCTATAGTTCATCATAAGTTTTTCGAGCCGGAAGTCGCTGGAAAATAAGATCACGACACTACCAATATCGCGAAGAAGATCAGATTCAGTTTCTGATTTTATAGATTTCGCACATTGATGTGAATTACGATGTTCTCGAGGAAGTACGAGAAACGAAGAGAAGCACGCACTTCTCATAGTTTATTGCTACTCCTCTCTTTTGAAATATCCGGGGCTATACTCATAAATAATTAACAGTCAGTCTTCAATGTCTTCTAAATAAAAATCTAAATTCAAATAGACGTTAAAGTCTACTATAAAAACTTATCAAAGTATACCTCAATTAATCATGTAAATATAAAATTCAAACTTCACCTACGATTTCTTTTCTTTTACAATAAATTATCTAATTTTAGATGACTAATTAAAAGATCGAATTTATTACATTAAAATCTGATATTGAAAGCTCTGTAAAGCTCAATGAATTATTCTACGAATAAAATTTCTCTACGTTTCATCCTTCGAGTTAGCAGAAAATAGTGTGTCATCGAAAGCCATGTTAATTGTCCCATCGATAATATTAATTTCTACGTTGTCGCTTACATTACCATCCCTTCCTTAAGACACAATTTCTCTCGTTAACATTTCCAACGTATT